TAGTAAGGTTAGGATAAGATAGAACTTTATTTATCCTAAGTGGAATGCTTCTGCAAGATATTGCTCAGAAGAAATTCCAGTACCATGAGTATATAGTGTCTAATAGAATAGCAATAAGATTAAAGTCCTTTATATTAGTTTATAGTTTGTTTTTTTTAAGTAGAAATTAGAAAGCTAAAATAAAAGTAAAATTGAAAAAATGCAGAAGTAGTAAAATAATATTGCTTATCCATCCATTTTCTATACACCGCTTAATCCTCATTAGGGTCGCGGGGGGGCTGGAGCCTATCCCAGCAGACTTAGGGTGAAGGCGGGGGACACCCTGGACAGGTCACCAGTCCATCGCAGGGCCACACCCAGAGACAGACAACCAAGCACACTCACATTCATACCTACGGACAATTTAGATAATATTGCTTATGATATTGAAATATTGCACACAATACTTAAACTGTTATTGCACATACTATTGTTCGGTGTTAAATTTCCGATGTCATCTTTACAGAGGCAGAGGTGTTCTGCAGTTTGATGGCAGGTAAAAAAAAAAAACAACAACAAAACACCTCCTATTTTTTATATAAATATTATGTATTTATTGTCTCATTTGTTTATTTCAGAATGTATTTTATAGCCATATTTGTGTATTTATAAAATGTATTTTCTGTATTCATTTTAGTATTTGTATTTATTCATGTGTTTGTTTGTTTATCTAACACTGAATTAAACAGCATCTCATAATTTACAGCTATAGTGTTTTTGAAAACCACTCCGTAATTTTATTTGATATTTTCCAGCATTCAAAACATAGAATAAACTTTGGATCACTTAAATTTTGCACTAAGCTTTGCTTCTAGAAGTTAACGTTTATTTTCCTTCTGCAACCTATTGCCCTTGTTTAATGCACATGTTCTTAGTTTGTTTGTAAGTACGTTAGGAACAAAGAAAACATTGGAGTTTAATTCCTTCCATTGTGGACTCGCAGCATATTTAAAAATTATAGGAAAGCACCCAAATGGACTATGTCAGTGTGGTCAACCTTAACCTGTAGTAAAGACACTGCTGAAAGGAGGATTGTGTCTAAAGAGCTCTCTGAGATTGGTTTAACAACGTCCTCAATTAAGGTTATTTTCTCATCTGGACAGAACTCGCTGTTGATAGAGTTGTTATAAGGTTTCTTCGCTCCATCAACGTCTATGTAAACATAGACAATAGTCAATAGTCAATAGTTCATGTTGACCACATGGGGCAGCATTACGATTGCATAGCGGACAGCTTGCCGGAAACCATTAAAGAAGAAGCGGAACAGGAAGCGGAAGAAGACGAAGAAGAAGAATCCAAACGCAGCACAAGCAGCAGCGACCAGACGAAGATGCAGCGAGACAAAACAAGCAACGCCGGCGGGGCTGAAAAGTAAGAATACAGCAATTTATAATTTACTTTGATAGAAAGTTGTTATCTCATGAATTCAATTATGTAAAGACCTGTTTCGTATAGCCCTTGTTGGCAAAAATATCCTAATAATGTCTTTCCTCCAGGCCCGACCGGGAGGCCGCCATCATGTCGAAATACTACGATGGAGTGGAATTTCCTTTCTGTGACGAATTCTCCAAATATGAGAAAATGGCCAAGATAGGACAAGGGACCTTTGGGTGGGTAGTACGCCAACATTTTGTGTTTTAGTTATATCTGTGAGCTGTGCTAACTGCGAGCCATAAAGAGAACACAAGCGCCATTCTTTTCCTTTGTTTTGCTAGCAATTTATTTGTCGATTTTAATAGCAGGCAGCAACTACTATATAATTTGAAACAAATAATACTTGTTCTTACTAGTTGGTAGCAGATAAAGTTACAAGTTTTTGTAAACAAGCTGAATTAGCTGCTACTCACTGATGGTATTACGCGGATGTAAGCTCGTGCTAGCATTGCTACGAAGCAAGATTAATGGGTTAGCGAGCTATGTTGAGCCTGAATCCAGAGTTTTCTGTAACATAACTGCACAGCTAACTTCTCCAGGTGAGTTTCTGTTGAGAGTTTGGGCTTTACAATTTAGTTGTAACACTGATCTGTCTTTCTTAGGGAGGTGTTCAAAGCCAAGCACAGGCAGACGGGGAAGAAGGTTGCACTCAAGAAAGTTTTGATGGAAAATGAAAAAGAAGGGGTAAGTAATCCTTAAAGACTAATGATTAATTATGACACCTGTAATGCTGAAAATTGATGTGGACTTGCCAGACTCGGATACTTTATATGACTGACAGGGGTTTTTCTAGATAAAAGAAATGTATAAGGGAGCACACCGTGTCGAGGGAACAAATCGACCGAGGGAGGGGTGTTGGGGGGTGGTGGGCGAGTCCCGCCGTCTTCACATTGACTTTACATTTAAATCATTGGCGCGAATGTATTTTCTCGCGTCTGGTGTGAACACAGGGTTCAATCGGCATTTTGGTAAGAGGTTGCAAGCCGGGAGTATGAGGGCACAGTGCCCCTGTAACATTATTTAAACAAACCTCTGACTGAGCCTTATTTAGCTTTGTCCTTTTGTCCAATTATTTATTAAAACATTACATGCACCAAGATACACTGAAGAGGGGTTTGATTTATGGTCCGTGTGAACTACATGAAAGCTTTTGAAAAGCTGTTGAAGTCTAAGGTTTCTATGTTGCGATAGCTGCCTATCAGCTAGACATCCTCATTTACCTATTTTAGTATGGCAGTCACTTAAAGGAGTTGCTCTTTGTCCTTTTTGTTTCAGTTCCCAATCACAGCTCTGAGAGAGATCAAGATCCTCCAGCTGCTCAAACATGAGAATGTGGTCAATCTGATTGAGATCTGCAGAACCAAAGGTTGGTGACATATACAAACAATTCATTTGTGATTTGTGTAGGTTAATTTTTTCATCTCTTGTTTTTGTCTGTCATGTATACGTGAATAAAGTATGCCATGCTCAAATGATGGTAACACAAAGCATATGTTGCCTAAAATGAGTTTGTTGGTAGATGTTTTAATTTATTTTTCCCCTCTTGTTGTTTGTGAAGCTACTCAGTTCAACAGGTACAAAGGCAGTATCTACCTGGTGTTTGACTTCTGTGAACACGACCTTGCTGGGCTGCTGAGCAATGCCAATGTGAAGTTCACCCTGGCAGAGATCAAGAAGGTCATGCAGATGCTGCTTAATGGATTGTACTACATCCACAGAAACAAGGTAGGAGCTTAACAAAGATGACCACCAACTAGTCTTTTTTTGACAATAATGCTGTTTACAGATTTAGGATCTAAAACAATCCAGACCTTATTTGTATTCAGACAGATACATATTGTACGTTGATTCAGTTTTTGAATGTTCAATTAAAGTGTAGAGTCTCAACTTTAACTTGAGTGTACTTTGATCAGTATAGTAAGCAGGTGGGAGATGAAACCTCTTTATAAGACTGTTTCTATTTGCAATGGTTCAACATTTATTAGATACTTTGCTACTATACTTCTTGGACAGCTGTGTGTTGTTTCAGCCAATAGCAACATGAAATGTGTCCGACTCATAGTGACGTTGCTTGTACATTCACAGAACTGGCACAAGTATTATCATCTAATCGCACTGATACATCAGCTTCACTCATAACTCCAGTCACTGTGTTTTTTCGTGGATCCAGGAAACGGACACAGTTTATAGTGATACTGTATCATGTAGTTACCATCATGCAAATACATCTAGTTAGGATTGTAGCAAATCTTAACATTGAGGAGATTTTAAATGAAATATTAGATAATATAATTAATATACAGCTACAGACCACCAGGGCTACATGTGAGCTATAATGCACTGTAATTCATTACTTTATTTGATATCCTATCTGTTTTCTGATAGTGGAACAAAAAATGAATAGGAATGATCTTGTTTATTTATTAATCTTCCGGTTCTCTGTCCTCAGATCCTTCACAGAGATATGAAGGCAGCCAATGTGCTCATCACCAGAGACGGTGTCCTGAAGCTGGCAGACTTTGGTTTGGCTCGAGCCTTCAGCCTGGCTAAAAACAGCCAGGGGAATCGTTACACAAACCGTGTGGTCACACTGTGGTACAGACCTCCAGAGCTGCTCCTAGGTAAGAGACAACCACAAACATTTGCATTTTGTATATACAACCCAGACTTCTTCACCTTGTTAAGAGATGTATTAGAAACTTGTTGGTCTTTTAGAGTCGCACGACTGATTTAAATAATAAGCTTTTTTAATTTGTTTTCATAATGTTACTCAATTTGTTTTGTGCTCTATTTTACAATAACATACAGTTGTGTTAAATAAAATAATCTTAAATTAATTGGGCATTTTTACTTTTTGAAAGAAAATTAAAGATTTAGAGTAATCACCTAATCTGTAAAATAGTCTATAGATTAATTGATAGAAAAAAAGTTGTTAGTGGCAGCCCGATTTAGTTCACAAATGACTTATTGAAAAACACATAACAACAGAATATAAGGTGCTTTTTTAATAATAGTCATTTCTGAATCTGCTTCTGAACCAGATACTTTTGGTGGCTGATAAAACTTTTACCAATCAGGATGTTGCAGATCACAGAAAATGACTTTGCATTGAAACAAGTTTTTAATTCCTGTGTTAATTTGTCCTTCTTGACCATTGATTTCTTTTTACAACAATGAAATGGGAAAACATTTTGTCAGTTTTTCATCTTGAGGGTTAGTTTTTATTTAGTTTCAGTTTCACTTTTGTTGTGAATAATGGTCAAATATATTTCTTCCCTGGTTTGTTGATTAAATTAACACTGTCTCTTTAATAATCCACCACACAATAAGTATCTGAAAGGCATTTGGTAATGATTAACAGCACTCACTTGTTTAAAGATTGCGAACTTCTCACATGCCATATCAAAATGCATTCCATAATTTGCCTGCTGCATATTTTTCACTCTGATTTGTCACAACAGGAAAAGCACTGGTGGAATTAATGATTCAGGCCCATTAATCAGCTCTGTGAACCATTACTTTGAACCAACATACCAATAGCAGGACCTCCCCGAAGTGGAATGCAGCCATCATTCATGCAACAGTGATTTTCCTGTTATGACATGTCAAAATGTTAGTTAAAAAGTTCCTTGGGATGTTTTATGGGTTGCAAAGTTTCTGTATTCAGTCATTTTTTCTTAAAACAAACACAATGCAGGGGTGCCCCTTTAGCTTACTTGGGGGTGGGCGACCCATAAACAGGGGCTATAGTTCCCAGATGCAGCGGTCGTGGGTTCGACTCCTGCTCACGACCCTTTGCTGCAGGCCTCTCCCCATTCTTCTCCCCCCTTTCCTGTCTATCTCTACTGCTCTAAAATAAAGGCAAAAGGCCCAAAAATACATTTTAAAAAAACAACAACAAAAACACAATGTAGAAACGTTTGTTTGTTTCAAACTTGCTTTGTTTACACCCGTATTTACTTGCTAGTAGTATTGTTTCACTGCCTGTATCGGCACGCATCATCCATCTGGAGATCAGTGGAATGTGAGTCACCAATATGCAAAAGACCAAAGCAACAAAGGGACCCACTCCTAGTTATATTGTGTTAATTGTGCTAACCATGGTCAGACTAAGACTTGGTTCTAAAATTCCATTTCTGAAGAAAAGGTAAAAATTTGTTCTTATTTTTTTTGTAGGTGAGCGAGACTACGGCCCCCCCATTGACCTGTGGGGAGCAGGCTGCATCATGGCAGAGATGTGGACCAGAAGTCCCATCATGCAAGGCAACACTGAGCAGCACCAGCTGACTCTGATCAGCCAGCTGTGTGGCTCCATCACTGCTGAGGTAAGACGTCATTTTACGCTGAAGCTGCATTACATGGTAGCACACTTGTCATCTTTGTCAGCAAGATCTTGACCCTCATTATTTTTCTACCAGGTGTGGCCTGGTGTGGATAAGAAATATGAGCTGTACCAGAAGATGGAGCTGCCTAAAGGCCAGAAGAGGAAAGTGAAGGACCGCCTCAAAGCTTATGTCAAAGACCCGTATGCCCTGGATCTCATAGATAAACTCCTGGTCCTGGACCCAGCACAGCGCACTGACAGCGATGATGCACTCAACCACGACTTCTTCTGGTCCGACCCCATGCCATCAGACCTGAAGAACATGCTCTCCACCCACAACACCTCCATGTTCGAGTATCTGGCCCCACCCAGACGAAGAGGCCACATGCCCCAGCAACAGCCCAATCAAAACCGAAACCCAGCCACCACCAGTCAGACAGAGTTCGATCGAGTGTTTTAGTGGAGAAGTTTATGACGACTAGTTGGCCTGATTTGATATAACGAAGCTTTTGTCCCGGCTGTTCGAAAGTTGAGGAAAGCTGCACATTCCGTCTTGACTTTACCTGCAGTTTCTCTCATGGTAACTGTTTGTGCGAAGTATGTATACAGTAAGTAACTGTATGGCAAAAGGTGCAGGTTGCTTGGGTTCACCAGCGTTAAGACTGTTCACAGTTATGCACAGCTTTTTGCAAGCCAAGCGAAGAAGATAGTTTGGGTGTGTTTACCCAAGTTTTAATTTTGATGGCTATGTTTTTTAGTCCAGTATATTCCTTTTTTTTTGCAATTTCACATTTGTCATATCGTTTTCTATGATAAATGCTTTTATTTACAGGTTGTGCTCTGTTTCAGGGTCCTTATTTATGATGACTGTTAGTTTTATTTAAACCATTTACACTGTCAGTACAAACAGCCAAAAGTGGTATACTGCAAATAAAAATGTTTATTTTCACAAAAAATATTTGGCTGCTAGTGATCATGTGATCATTTCAACTTAAAGATTTTACATATGAAAAGATATGATCCCTTGGCAGATTGCGATGCACTGTGTTGAGGTTATAGATTAAATCAAATAGTATGAATGTAAGAGGAAGATGAGCCCCCCATAATATTTTACTGTTCTATAATTGTGTTCTTTTGTGATACATTTTATTTTTTAAAATGGCATTTCTATCTGCATAAGACATAGCACTGACAAGCACGTGTTATTTTCATGCCTCACCAGCAGAGGGAGCACCCCCTAACATGAGCACGCCAGAACTCTGTGAAGTGCCTGGGCCAGTTAGAATATAAAACTCTATCTGTAAACACGGGGAAATGAGATGGAAGTTACAGTAATATTGTTTTGTTGGTTATTCTCAGTGTTAACACTATGCAGAGCTCTGTAAAGTGCCTGAGCCAGTTAGAGTATGAAACGCACCCAGACAGACGTGTCACTGTGTGCTATGTATGGTTACAGAGTGGTTTCATTAAAGCTCATGAAAATCCACAGCAGTCGGCTCATCCTTCTGAGTGTGCAGCATGAATGATGATAATGAAATGTGCAACACATGGACCAGCAGCTCAATCAAAATGCTGCTTGTACTCTTGCATATACAGTTTTGAATAAAAGTTCACATACACTAAAGACCGTGTACATCATGGCAGTCTCGAGCCTCAGTGACTCCTACAAGTCATCATTTTCTATGATGGAATCATTGAAACACATGCTTCCTCCCACAAGGTCCAAAAACATGTTGAGGTTAATTGGTGATTCTAAATTGTCCGTAGGTGTGAATGTGAGTGTGCTTGGTTGTCTGTCTCTAAGTGTAGCCCTGTGATAGACTGGTGACCTGTCCAGGGTGTCCCCTGCCTTCACCCTGAGTCAGCTGGGATAGACTCCAGCCCCCCCAATGACCCTAGTGAGGATTAAGCGGTGTGTAGATAATGGATGGATGCTGACTCCTCGAAGCGAATTTAAATAAGGCCTTTTTGATGCACTCATTAGACTGTACCACAAACAGGACAACGGGAAAGTCTGAAGAGCTCAACAAAGATTGGAATTTTTAAAAAAAAAAGAGAATGAATTGAAAAAGTTAGAAAAGTCACTTAGAGCCATTTCAGAGATGCTTCAGAATGCAAAATAAACTGAGAACAGTTGGTCTAAAGTGCATTGTGCAGTTGTGTCAATGCCTCAATCAGGAGGAAAACACAAACTATCTCCTGCTGCTGAGAGGCATCGGGTCAGAATGGTCAATTGTCAACCAAGAATCACCAAAAAGCAGGTAAGTTAGGTGAAAATGGCCAAAGGATTCCTAATATTTAGTGTAGTTGGTTAACTTATTTGTATTTCAGCACAACTGTTTACAGCCATAAAACATGAAGAACACAACCAAGCGACTGAAAGACTGATAAAATGCATCCAGTAGGTGGCAGCATCACATTACTGCATGTCATTGAATAGTGCGTAGACATGTATTCTTGCAACGGAACACTTAAAGTATTTATTACACACACACTGTTGTGCTTAGGGGGTTACAGCTATAACTATGCATGTTTTATTTCAGTGGTAGCAAACTCACTGTTTTTCATGCTACTCTGCACATCACCTCTAGAAAGATGTTCACCATGCTGAGTGCGTCTTTTAACAACTTACCATCAGTTTGTTCATCTTTATATCATATTTCCTCCATACAGCATTTATTTTTTTGCTCAAGTATGTTTTGTTTTGCTCTCCATCACTCTGAAAACACAGCCTGCAGTTCAGCTGAAAGGTCCTCAGATGTTTATCACGTGACTGTTGTGCGCAGATACGTCAAAGTGGCTTCTCAGTTGTGCAGGGATACACCGATTTTTTTAGTTTGTTACAGAATCTGTTGTCAACAATTTATTTTGTTGAAAATTTGATACGTAAAGGGATTTGGGTGAAATATTACAGTTTTAAGCTTAGATTTGGTTAATTCTTCTGACAGAATTCACGTCACACATTTTATGTTCAAAGTCTGTCAGAGAGTGAAACATTTTTTCTGGTTTGACAGTTTCCAATTCTGATAAATGGTGTCCATCCATCCATTATCTATACATCGCTTAATCCTCACTAGGGTCACTGGGGGGCTGGAGCCTATCCCAGCTGACAGGACAGGTTGCCAGTCTATCACAGGGCTACACTTAGAGACAGACAACCAAGCACAATCAAATTCACACCTACAGACAATTTAGAATCACCAATTAACCTTAACCTGTGTGGGAGGAAGCTGGAGAACCTGGAGAGAACCCACGCTGCTCGGGGAGAACATGCAAACTCCACGCAGAAAGATCCCGGGTGTCCTCAACCAGGAGGCGAACCGGCGACCTTCTAGCTGTGAGGTAACAGTGCTAACCACCTCTCCACCTTACAACATAAATGGTGTCACGTTGGAGATCTTTGTTTCCATCCATGCTTGCTTGGGCAGAGGTCAATTCATAAGATTTGACAATAATACCATCCATAGCCTTTCCGTACAAAGCAAAATGGCCCACTGCAACAATATCTGTTGTAGAATTCAGTATTCAGGAATGTTCCCTAATATTTTTCCCCACTTCATTAAGAAACATGAGGAGTTTAATATATTAGGAAGCCTTTTTCAGGATAATACAATCCAGTAGATCAACACCCCGTTTACTACACCCTCAATATAAACAAAGTAGAATCAACACTTTTCTGACAATGGCAACAACATTCAAGCAGCTTTGTTCAAACTGAGTTTTGGATTAAGTGGACTGCACAGGTTTTCTTAAAAAAGAAAGTGTTCAGATAAAGCTTGAAATCAGATTATTCTGTTTTTATAGTTCCTGGCTCTAATAAATAGAGTGATTTTTAACTTAAAAAAAAAAAAAAAAAGATAATATGCCTTTCCATCCTGCTGCTGGGTTTTGGGGGTTCAGAGGGTCTAATGGTATTTGCAGAAGTCTTGTTTCTTTTATCGTTATAATATTCAAGCTGTTAGTGAACATTAAAAGATTGTGATACATGCAATTTGTTCTTTCCAGAAAGTGATGTAGGAAAAAGTCTATCAGTGTTCATAGAGCCTTTTTGTACTTTGCACTACGTACTTGTACAACAGATTAGGGGAATTATTAATATGTATATATTTGCCATGTGCATGTATTTGTCACAAACCACCTCAGGCTCCTAGTTCCACTCTGCTCAGTCTAACAACTGCCTGTGTGTGGTGTCAAACTGGAGCTTTACCCAGATGATGGATTGCTATTTTAGTTCCAGAGCTCCTCCACCGTCACTTCTGGTGAGTGTGTGTGTGCTGACAACGATGACAACAACAACTAACATAAATTAGAAAGCGCTCCAATGGACAGATGGGCCTCCAACTACTGCAGCCGCTTGCATGCAAATGGACTCGCAGCTCTTTGCCACAGAAGCAGCAGTGTTGATGATCTGTATGGATGAGAGGCCAGGATGCAAAATGATGCTCCAAACTGTGCCAGGTTTGGGCTACAGCAGGGCACGCTGTGAACCCACTCCAATAGGCTTATTATGCTCTTCTTCCTGACTGATGTGATGACACTCAGCTGCAGGGTTTGTTTAGGGCAAATGCCACGTGAGATTGGGATAAATGTCACTTCATATTCACAGGGGTCTTCCTCCTGAGCCCCTGGAACAACAATGCTGCTGTATTTGGTACGGCTGTGCTCTGTGGAGGTAATTTAATCTGAACAGATGCATACTCTGCATTCCTGCAGTCTACATGTCAAGAAATCTTCGTCTGCGCAGATAAAACCCTTCATCTATTTTATCTTTTACAAAAACCTGACCTTTACATGGCAGCATGCAGTCTTAAGCTACACCAGTGAAATCCTGTGCGACTGTCAAAATGTATTTTTCTCAAAAAAGCCAATAAAGTCAAAAGTCTTATTTTAGAATGATGACTAATATCTTAATTTGATCTATTTGTCAGCCTACTGGTGCTCACCACAAAACTGTAGCATTTACAGTTTAAATTCTGGCTGGTTGGACTTGCATGTCATGCCTTTTGAAAAAATAGTTTTAATGTTAGATCATTTTCATAGTGGCTTGAGTTTGAAGCTAGTTCCAAGAAAACCTATGAATCGTTTTTGCTTATTCTATTGACAGATGGCTTTGCTTGAAATGTGCACATTTCTCCTGATTAGCACAGTTTGTGTTGTTTCTAATGGGGCAGTTCTTGCACTGTGTCTGTTCTTATTAACTATAATATTCACTTACATGTTTCTTGGAGGTGCAGTTGGTTGCACTGTTTCCTCGCAGCAAGAAGGTCGCCGGTTCGCGTCCCAGTGGGGGCACTAGAATCTTTCTGTGTGGAGGTTGCATGTTCTCCCCGTGCAGCGTGGGTTCTCTCTGGGTTCTCTGGCTTCCTCCCACAAGGTCCAAAAGCATGTTGAGGTTAATTGGTGATTCTAAATTGTCCGCAGGTGTGAATGTGAGTGTGCTTGGTTGTCTGTCTCTAAGTGTAGCTCTGTGATAGACTGGCCGCGACCCTAGTGAGGATTAAGCGGTGTATAGATAATGGATGGATGGATGGATGTTTCTTGGATTATAATACTGATCCTGAAAACAACCTTTTGAGTCCTAGATTTTTAGCAGGGTGGCTCTGGAGGTTGCAGTTGGTTTGGCTTGAACTATTTAGACATTCATAGTCCCCTGAGGATTTCTCACTCTATCACTGATAATAAATAAATCACAGAAAAATGTTTGGACACTTGAGTTTGTATGAATTTCTTTGCATTAGATGATAAATTGTCAAGCAAAGTGCATTTTGCATGAGTATGCTTCCACAAGTTTGTTCAAATGAAGACAAGACGGTGTTTGGACACCAAATATTAGCTTTACTAAAGCTCACAGTTATTATGTTTGGTGTTTAATTTGTCGTTCTTTATCTTGCAGAACTGCATGACAAAATTTGACCATGAAATCAAATCAGTCTATAACAACTGTTGTGAAAGTTTTGTTCATGTTGTAGCCAGCAAAGCTATCAGTCCATCTTCACCTAAAAATCAACAAGCTGACACTTTCTTCTAAACTGCATCATAGGTGTCCTGCAGGATTTGGGTCAAGGCTCTGGGAGGGCAAGTCTGAGACTCTGATTTTCTTCTGGTTTACTTTTGATCATTATACTGCTGAACAATCCAATTACTGATTTCTTTAATTTTGCATTAAAAACTTCTGTACATGTCAATAGCTCATCATTCTTACTAAGAAATAAAACCACAGTTTAAAAAACAGCTCCAGACTCCAAAGCTCTCTGCCTTACGATAGCATTATAGCTGTGAAGTGAGATTGTTGATCTCTGCAGTGAATCCTTTCTGCTTTCTTGTCTGTTTTTCTTCTTTTACTCAGAATGATGTGGTCCAACTTGCGGCTGTCGTTTCATGTGTACCTTCTGCTCTCACTTACATGTCTATGCAGTTACTTTCCTTTCTTTAATCTTTTAATTTGAGAGCATTATGTCTTCATGTTACATTCAGATTTTGTAGTGCTT